GTGAGTATTATATTGAAATTTACTTATTTAGTTAAAAGCTTCCATTTAAAATTGAAAATATGTAACACAGTATCTCACAGAGTAATATAACATATGATACCACAAGTGACATTAAAAAGGAATTATTACTTCTTTGTTATAATGCAAAATATTGAAGTATGACATTCAGTTTTTTTAAAAATAAGATAATAATAACAATATTTTTAATCTGTATGCTCATTCAGCTTATTCTGGCATGATCATATTTAGTTTTAGCTAAATGTTCATTCTACCACATCAACCTTTTAATGTATATACTGGCTGGTTTTGTGGGTATACCTGACACAAGCGAGACTCATCAGGCAGGAACCAGCCCCAGTTGTGAAAATGCCTTCAAAATTAGAACCTGCTCTGAAGATTTTTTTCAATTAATGATCATCAATGAAAGCCTAGCCCATTTTGGCTGGTGATGTTCCTGGGCTGCTATAAGACACTGAGCAAACCAGTTTAGGGGAAACAAGCCAGTAAACAGTCATCTTCCATAGTCTCTGTATCAGGTCCTGTCTCAAGGATCCAATCCCTACCCCCACTTCCTTCAGAGGTGAACAGCAATATGGAAGTATAACCTGAATAAACCCCTTCCTCCTAAAACTTGCATTAAGGTCACAGCAATAGAAACCCTGAAACTCTAGGGAAGATATCATGTTACTAAAATTTAGCATATTACATCTGTTAATAAAAAGGAAGAGCAGGAAGGAAGGGGATTAAGTACTTGAGTCCTATTAGATGGAACTTTGTGTGGGGAGCTTTCCCTAAACAAATGTTAATAGGAAGTTTATGTCAGCAATGATTTTCTCATTTCTTCCTCATGCAATGACAATGGCAATTGGGTGACATGGGAAGGATGAGTCTGTTTCTGTGGGTTTCCCATCATGGTCTTGACCCCTTTGATCATTTTAACACTCTTCCCTCTCTTCAACTAGACACTAGGAGCTTGGCCCAGTGCTTAGCTATGGATCTCTACATCTGCTTACATCATTTACTGGATGAAGGTTTTATGATGACAACTAAGGTAGTCATTAATCTGATTATAAGGGACGGCCAAATCAGGCACCCTCTCCACTATTGCTTAGAATCTTAGTTGGAGTCATCCTTGTGGATTCCTGTGGATTTTCCAAGTGCCAAGTCTTTTTTTTTTTTTTTTTTTTTTTTTTTTTTTTACTAACTTCATAATAGCTCCCTCTATCAAAATATCTCTCTCCTTGCACACCATCTCTGTCCTTCCCACAACTGGAGAATCCTATTACCTCATGTTCTCTTACCACTCCCCTCCTCTTTTCCCTCTTTCTTTTTTCCCTCCCCACTCCCTTCGTGTTCCTGATATACTCAGGAGATCTTATCTATTTCCCCTTTCTAGGAAAATACATGTATGTATCTCTTAGAGTCCTCCTTGTTACCAAGCTTCTGTGAGGTTATGGACTGCAGGCTGGTTATCCTTTGCGTTATGTCTAATATCCACTTATGAGGGAGTACATACCAAGTTTGTTTTTCTGGGACTGGGTTATCTCACTCAGAATTTTTGTTTTCCAGATCCATCCACTTGCCTGCAAATTTCAAAATGCCATTTTTCCCCATTGGAGTAGTACTCTGTTGCTCAAATGTATCACATTTTCTTTGATTATTCTTCAGTTGAGGGGCATCTAGATTGTTTCCAAGTTCTGGCTATTACAAATAATGTTGCTATGAACATAGTTGAGCAAATGTCCTTGTGGTATGATTATGGATCCTTTGGGTATATACTCAAGAGTGATATTGCTAGGTCTTGAGATAGCTTGATTCCTAATTTTCTAAAAAACCACCTTACTGATTTCCAAAGCAGTTGTGCAAGTTTTCACTCCCACCAGAGCTCACTGACTCCTGGCTGATAGTATAGGAATGAGATAAAACCTCTGAATGTGGGTGACAGTTGTGTGGCTTAGGCCATTAATGGCACCAATGGCAGTGGGACCATGGTTTATCCCTAGTGCATGAACTAGCTTTTTGGAGCCTATTCTCTATGGTGGGATACATTGCTCAGTCTAGATATAGGGGATAGTCATTGGTCCTGCCTCAGTGTGCTGTGACAGACTTTGTTGACTCCCCATGGGAGGCCAGATCCTTTTTAAGTAGTGAATAGGGTATAGGGGGAGGATAGGTGAACGGATCAGGAGGATGGGAAGAATTGGAATTCGTATGAAAAAGTTAAGAAAAACAGATTGTTTTTTAAACAATGGGAAAGATGAGTCTAGCGATGTCAGAGTTTCTGTCCTGCTTAGCAGAGTAAGTCACAGCACCATGGCAATACATAGTTTAATAGAAAAGTTTTAATAATTACAAGAGAGTTAGCCAACAAAAAGCCTGAGCCATCAGCGAAACAATTTACAATTAATATGTCTTTGTGTGTTATTTTGGGGTTGAAAGACTGTCTTTAGTCAGGAGTATTTAAAAGGTTAATGTGCTTTGTGACATGCAAAAGGAAAGAAATATCTATGAGAGGCTGGTGAACAGAGCCTACCAACTTGAAAATATAAAAGACAATAGAAAATGCCAGGAACTGGACTTTGGCACAATATATCAAGAATCAAATATTTTCTGCCACCAATTTGTTCAATAACCACAGCTAAGACTTTTCTGAGTATTTTTTTATTAAGCTTGCATTCCATATATACATTTGACCTGGCAGAATAAGAAAGCAAGGTTCAGAGCTAGGTAAGTGATTTAGGAAGAAAATGTTTGCTAGGCTAGTATGAGGATAATGAGTTTGATGCTCAGAATTCACATAAAAATGGTCAGTGTGCTGGCACACACTTGTAATTCCAGCACTTGGGAAGGAAAGACAGGTATATCCCTGAAGTTCACTAAGCAGCGAGTTCCAGGTGAATTGAGAGACCTTATCTCAGAAATAAACAACTATCACAACCAACCAAAACAGAGGGATTGACAACTGAGGAACCCCAAGTTAATGTCAAGCCTTTACACACACACACATATTCATTCAAGTGCAATCATTTGTACATGCACACACACACAGAGAGAGAGAGAGAGAGAGAGAGAGAGAGAGAGAGAGAGAGAATAAATCAAGTTTTCATGTGTTGATATTCATTTACATAGCAGTGGCATTTTTTAAAATTACACCATTATTCTTTTCAATTCTCACATATGAGAACCCTTGCTAAGTGCTAAACACTCATTTTTCACAGTTAGTGTTTCCATTTATAGTGTTGAGGTTAAACACCTTAAAACATAAATATCTGGAGAAATATGTTCTCCACGTAACACTAACAATTAAGCAAACAACTTGACAGTGCTTCTTTTACTGTTTCCCCTTTTATCAACTTGCTGTAGTTAATTAGAGGCTATTCAGAAGAATACACATTCATTCTTGAATTTCTAAAGATTTTTCAAACATTACTCATTTCTTATTTGAAGAAATTAAATTTTCATTTTGAATTTTGATAACATAAAGCATCTACCTGGAAGTAAGTAAATTTTAGAGATTAATAATATTTATTAGTTAATAAGATACATCAAAATAATAAAACATTTGCAAGGGCTGTATCACTAATCAAATAATGCCATAAGTTATCATAGCCAATATACTTTTTAATTTAAATTTTAACAAGCTTGTTTTACATGTCAATCCCAGTTTCCTCACCCTCCAGTCACTCTGCCAATCCCCATCCCATCCCATTTCTGTTTCCCCGGGAGGGTTAAGCCCTTTCCCATGTGTCTAGGCTGAGAGAGTATCCCTCTATGTGGAATGGGCTCCCAAAGTTTATTCATATACTATGGATAAATACTGATCCACTAATAGAGGCCCCATAGACTTCCCAGTCCTCCTAACTAACACCCACATTCAGGGGGTCTGGGTCAGACCTCTATGTTGGTTTCCAAGATATCCAACTGGGCTGCATGACTCCCCCTTGTAATAGGTCAGCTCTTTCTGTGGGTTTTGACCCCTTTGCTCATCACTCCTCCCTTTCTGAAAGTGGATTCCAGGAGTTCTGCTCAGTGTTTAGATGTGGGTGTCTGCTTGTGTTTCCATCAGCTACTGGATGAATGCTCTAGAATGGCATAAAAGGTAGACTTCAATCTCATTATTAGAGACAGTCTTTTAAGGTAGCCTCTTCATCATTGCTTAGATTGTTAGTTGGGGGTCATCCTTGTATATCTCTGGACATTGTACTAGTGCAAGAGATTGAAAGACCAAAAACTTAGTTTCATACATTTCTATGACTTCAAATATCTTCTACACATAGTCTTAAAAATATGACATGGAACGTTTGTAGTCATGTGGAGTTCTATATTCTCTCTGTAAACCTAGAGGTGGTGGTTCAAGCCTTTAATCCCAGCACCTGGGAGACAGGCAGACAGGAGCCTCAGAGTTCTGAGCATGCCAGGTCTACAAAGCAAGTTCCAGGAAACTCAGGTCTGTTGCACAGAGACACTAACCTGCAAAACAACAAAACAAAACAAAACAAAAAATTAAAACAAACACCCAGCAAGTAAAGCATATTGTAGTGTTATAACTATAAGTTTATAGTCATGTGGAGTTCTATATTCTCCAGCAGTTAAAATGGAGAGTGTACAATATTGAAATCACATTGATGGTATGCATGGCACATTTTATATGGATCTAAATAATCATAGGTATTGTCAATGATAAAGAATGAGTGGAGTTTACCCTCTAGAATTCCATCTTCCGATGTTATTATGTGTTCAAATGTAGACATCTCTCACAGGCCTATTAGAAGGAAAACTCTATAATCTCTGCATTACATAGTTCAAATTAAAAGAATGAATGTTAAATACCAATAATTTCTTGTAAGTTGAGTGACGCTATTTCCAACAAAAGTATAATTTAAAAACCTTAGTTAAATGTACTTTAATAATTCGTATCCACAATAACCCTTGTCATTGGATTCAATGTTTAATGAAAATCAGTGTCAATACTAAAGCCTCGTTTGTGTTATATTTCTCTAGGTCTCAGGGTGGTGAACTTGCATTGAGTGCCTAACCTGTGATTTGATGGTAAGATTTTAATTACCACATGCATAATTTTAGAAAATGTTTTTATTTCTAAATTTATTTTAATTCAATATATATATATATATATATTAGAATGCAGAGTTAAGAATTTCGGTTGGTGGGGAAAAAAAGGGACTACAAAGAAAAATATGTAGAAATTATTGTTTTGTTGACAAAGCAGTAAGTATTCTGGGATATAAGAAATATATAATAACTTCGCTCTTTTTTTTCTTTGTTGTTTATATATGAAGTGTAACTTAATAGTTAAAAAAAAGTGGTTGAGTAAAAAATAATTGTCAGTTTCAAAAGTGACATTGCTTGCTTATAGGTTCTTGTTGACTTTATGTGATTGAGGCAACTCTATAAAGTTGTAGCTGCAGAATCTGAAACTACTTTTCAAACTTAAGGGCTTCTTAAGATCCAAAGTCATGTGTTGTCATTAACGCCTAGAAATCTTCTTCTCCCTCTTCTGCTGGATTCAAATAGACTGAAGCTACAATAACGGACCCTGTATATATCTGACCTAGGTCCTCTGCATATAAGTTATGGTTGTATAGTTCTGTGTGCTGGTGAGACTCCTAAAAGTTGGAGTGGGAGTATCTCTGACACCTTTGCCTGGACTTGTAAACCCTTTCTTCCTACTGGTCACCTTGTCTAGCCTTGGTAGAAGGGTTTGTGCCTAGCCTTTTTGTAATTTGTTATGCCATGTTCTATTAATGTCCCTGGGAGGCTGTCTCCCCCCTCCTCTTTCTCTCTCCATATCTGAAAATGGAGAAGTGAATCTTGAGGAAGGGGAGATGGGAGAGCTAAGAGAAGAGGATGTAGGGTAAACAGTAGTAGGGATGAAACTTATATATGTAAAATAGGTAAAGAATAATATTTTTAAGAGTTCTAAAAATGTTAATGGCAGTAGGAGCTGTCATGCAAAGGCGAACTCATATGTTTCTAAAAATACCCTTTAAAACATGGTAGTTGAATCTTAAGGTCAAATTTTAATGTGAAAGATCCTCATGAATTTAAGACTTGATGCCATTTTGTCCTAAAACAACAACAAATATTGATTTGTAAAACTGACTTTTTCATAATGTGTGCTTTGAAATCTAGCCCCATGTTCTTAAATTCACTGAGAGCGATGTATAAAACTTTATTAAGAACATGGTAAAGTAAAGATTTCGATAACAGAAGAAAGTTCTTAGGAAATGAGTGACAATTTTATACATTAGGAATTTTGTAGTGAAGTCTATTTGACACCAATGAATAGAGGCAGTAAGTTATTTAAAGTAAAACTTATTTTATCACCTGTCAAGTTTTATCAAACTGGGTTTTTCTATGAAGGTTTATTGTTTGAGTTTCAGGGAGTTGAAAGTAATGTATATGACATGGTAGTAAAGTATGAAAATACATGCTTTCTAAGGAAAATTGTAAGAATTTATTTATATATTTAATTGGCTGATTACATTCAGTAACACTCCATAAATGTGGATCTTCAATGTACTAATAATTGATTATATAATATATGAAAGTGTGTATTTATACTATGAAAATTAAATTAAGTTTTATCAAGACAATTTTCTATTCATCTAACTCTTCATAGTAAACACAAGAATGGTTGGTTTCTAATCAGTATGTAAAATGTAGACAGCCTATTTGCTGTATTTGTATTTGTATTTGTATTTGTATTTGTATTTGTATTTGTATTTGTGGGAAATTATAACCTTAGCATGCATGAGCAATTTAATACGACTGCATGTCTGAATGTGTGAATGTGTTTCATTGTTAAAACATACCTTGAAAGTTCCACCAATGATGTAGGGTCCCATTACATTTAGGCACCTAATTTTCACTTTTAGTTACATTTTAAAGAAATACTTCACGTGGTGTATGTATTTAAAAATGATTATTATATAAACAAAGATGCACACCTCAGCCCCAAAGATACTTTTGCAATAATAGGAGGAAATGTGATGAGTTATTTAGATATCCTTGGGGCAATTTATTCTCTCAGATACCAGATGCACACCCATATATACCACACATATCACAACATATCATATGCACAGACAAATATACAGGAAGATTTTTTAAAATGATAGCTCTTTAAGCTGCATTTATCATATACAGTATATTTATGATATTTATTAAATATAAAAATTTAGCTTAATTATTTAGTTAGGTGTTTTGTTTTTAATAACATTTAATAACATGGTTTTAAATTAAAAAATTCATAATGCATATTATGTAGTTTAAACAAATTCACCCCACTCTCTTCATTCCAATTTCTCCCTTACTCTTATATTAGCCCTCCCCAAAGCATGTATGCTCTCTCTGTCTCTCTGCCTCTGTCTCTGTCTCTTTCTCTCTTAAACCATTGACCATGTCTAGTGCTGCCTGTATTACAAGGGTGTGAAACTGTTTAGCCTAGCACAGGTAGATTCTTTGTCACATTCCTGTAGAAAACTAACTCTTCCTGCCCAGTAGCCATCAGATACCAATAGCTACTCCAATAAGAGTAGCCCTTCATTAATCTCCCCCACATAAATCCTCAGAGTTTGATTGACTTTGTCCATGCAAACATAGCTGCTGTGAGTTAATGTTTACATGCACCCTATAATTTCCAGAAAAAGAAATGTTCTCTGCACATGACCCCTATACATCTCCCATTCTGATACTCATTCTTTGTTGATCCCTATGCTTTTGGAGGAAATGAATGATAGAGATATCTCATTTAGAGTTGTGTACTCCACAGCCACTAATTATTTGCACCATAACTTGTGATTTGTATCTATATTAATTAACATCTATTGCAAAAATAAACTTATTTCAGGAAAGATGGGAGATGTACAAATATGTGAATATAAAGAACAATTTGCAGTATAAGGTATAAGGTATAAGACAGTTTAATAGTAGATCAGTTTATCAAAATAATAATATTAGCTTCTCCCCTGGTGCCTATAGCATAGCAAGTCATGAATTTGGATCCAGTTAGCAGTACCAGACACAAGTTCTGTCTTGTGAAGCAGGCTTAAAAATCCATTCAGAAAGTGGTTGGTTACTCCTATAACATCATACCATTTATGGCACTATACATTATGTCAGTACCATCATTACTGTAACTCACATAGTTCATAGCTGGGTAAGACTATTGAATACATTTCTCCTTCAGTAGAATAAGTAGAAATGTCTGGCACAATGAATGCCAGCCAGTAGGAATGAATCATTTGAGTGTGTACATTTGGAATTGGCATTTCAGAACTCTATACATTAATTTAACAGAGTATTTCTAATTACCAATTTTCATGGGTACAATAAATGAATTTATATTTCTTCTGGTTTATATATCCATTTTATATTAAATGACTAAAATTAGTACTTAAAGCTAGAGGTGAGGCATATACTTTAATCCTAACATGGGAGGTTAGATATCTGAGTTCAAGGCCAGTATGGTGTGCATAGTGATTTCCAGTCTAGCCTAGGACATACAGTATAACCCTGTGTCAAAAAAAAATAAGCAAAATGTATAGAGAGCAATGCTTTATGCTTGATGGATATGAATTTTAAAACCATTATCAAAGTAGTTTATCACATACTTGCTTTGTGACTAATACAAAGGATTTTGAGGATACAGAGCATGAACCAACCATCTCCTGTAAACAGGTAAGACTTCTAGTGTAGGTGTTGGATCCAGACACATAACCTTTGACCTACAATTAACCCTGTCTACAAGATGTGCTGGGGTAAATAAAGCACAGAAATTGTGGGAGTAGCTTACCAATGGCTGGTCCAGTTTGAGACTCATACTATAAGAGGGAGCTTAATCCTGATGCTTGGAGGTCCAGCACACAAAATTTGAGCAAGCCGGACACCAAGGATATGAAAAAAAACAAGGCTGATAATTTTTTGAAAAAGTCAATGAAATGATTACTAATGGTCTTCTACTATATTCATAGATTGTTGCCTAGCCCAATTACTGTCCGAGAGGCTTCACCCAGTGACTGAAGAAAACAGATGTATAGACCCAAAGTCAACTGTTCGGTTGACATCAAAAAATCCGGTGGAAAAAGGGGAGGAAGGATTATGGGAGCCAGACAGGATAAAATACTATAAGAAGCTCAACAGAATCAACTAACCTGGGCTCATAGGTGCTCACATAGACTCAACGCAAAGCCAGAGAGTTTGCATGGGACTTAACTAGGCCCTATCAACATATGCTGCACTTGTGTAGTTCGGTCTTCTTATGGGACTCCTAACAGTGGGAGCAGGGGATGACTCTAACTCTGTTACCTGCTTTGGGGACCCTTCTTTACTTCTGCGTTGCCTCTGGAAGCCTTAAAAGGAGAAGTACCTAGTGTCTCTGAAACTTACTGTGTCATGACTGGTTGATATCCTTGGGAAACCTGCTCTTTTTCTGAAGACAAAGGAGGAGGAGTAGAAGGGAAGTTTGGGGAGAGTGACCAAGAGGAGAGGAGAAAGCAAGGGAGGGCAAAATGTAATTGGGCTGGAAATAATTAATTAAAAATATTTAATAGAGAAGTTTGTTGAATAATAGTGTGTGAAGAGGAAAAAGCTAACAATGGTAGAGCAGAAAATTTAAATCTTTATTAATTTCACAGCCTAATTAGAGAAATATTTAAAAGATTAAATACATATACACAAAGTGGGTCTTAATTTTGATTAAAAAAAGTTATGAAGAATTAAATACTCAAGTGTTTGGTTTATTTAGCTGTCAGAAAGGTTTCCAAAGGAAAAGATGTTCACACTGATACACTATGCTAGAGGGAAAATATGATTCACTATACAAGGGGATCTTCCAAAATGTCCAGACTCAGAAAAGCAGTAGTGTGGAAAACCGTGTGCTGAGGCTGAGGCTGAGGCAGGTTTATGATGAACTTCAAACCAGACCACCCAATATATGGCCCCTTGACATACTGCCTATTTGAGCTGAACGAACTTGAGAAATAGCATGTAGAAGGACACTAAGACCTTTTCCAAAAACAGGTAATTGA